TTTGCATGACATTTTTTTTCTATATTGTAGTTGCTTCTCCAATTCCAATTGTAAGACTTGGATTTTTACCGGTATATCAACGTGGTTTTTTTTGTAACGATGAAAGTTTGCAGTACCCATACAAGGACAGTACTGTGTCTTCTTTGATGTTATATTCAATATCACTTGGTTTACCTATCTTAATTGTAAGTTCATTAGTAATGTTATTGATCCTGCTTGCAATTTTCCCTTGTATTAGTATAAAACTCTTTACTGTAAAGGGGTTAATTATTCACTGGGTTTTAATTTTGTTTATTTCGCTGACTGAAACATGCGCTAAATTAAAACCCAGTGAATATGTGAAATTGAGCATAGAACACATTAACTAAATGATAAAACCTTGAATTTAAAACCAACTGAATATCCATGAAATGGTAAATCAACGAAATTTAAACTCTGCTCAATTTGTTCTCCCAAATTGATTCATGCATATTTCATACACATGTTTTTAAATGATCATTACTATTGTGATTTGTTATGACAATTGAATTTTGTTTTCCAAAACTCCTATTTGAAAAAAAATTTGTGAACTGTACATGCATATGCAGTTGTATTTAATTAATGTATGCGATGACATAAAACATTGATATTTTGTGTGGGACCAAATTATAATAGCTTTTTTTCAATACTCACTCATTATAAATATAGTTACAAAGTGGAAATCAGTTTACCGGTAAACTATAAGCTACAGAAAGTCTTTGATTTAACAAAATAATAAAAAAAAACATGCGGTGAAACATTTTTTAAAGTGAACAGGTAGCTGAAATGAAATGACTAACTGTGCAACAAGGAAAGCATGATTTTTTGCACCATGGAATAAAATCTTAAAATCAAATTTGGTCTAATAGAAGCAGATCTCCAAAAGAGCGCATACAAACTGCAAATTGCATTTTATTATTCGCTTTCGGATGCAGTCTGAAATTAATGGTTTATGAATTTACCTTCAAGTCTGTATCTCTGTTAAAAATCATCAAAATCATGCATTTCTGCTATTCTGGAAGCAGATCAGTCTGTTCTCAAGAAACATAATTTACAATTCTTTATCTTTTACTTTTACTTTCAGATTCTCATATCTGAAGCTATTGTATACTGCCGTAGGAAAAGATACCAACTAGAGTATTTATCACAGAATAGCTTCAACAGGTGTTGCTGTGATGTCCGAATCAATCCCTATTTCTTCCAAACTTCTAAGGCTATTACTATGTTTTTATTTGGGGCTGTAATCACTATAAATATTACAGATATGGCTAAGAACATGATAGGTAGATTGAGACCACATTTTATGGATGTTTGTCAACCGGATTTCAGTGTCATCAATTGTTCTGGTGGTTATATTACTGAGTTTACATGTCTTTTTGATAATGACGATGATTATCCATTGCAAGATGCAAGGTGAGGACTTAACCGTTTCATCACCAGTTTCCTCTTTTCCTCATAAACTCACAAAAAAGTCCCGTTTATAGTCTGCACTTTCCTTCAAAAGATTTGAACAAAAATAGCCAATTTTTTTGAGTAAAAACTGAAAATTCACTCAAATTTTGTCTCTTGGCTCAAAAAATTAAGATTCATTACTAGAAATGTTAAAGAATATAAGAAAAAAGTACAGAAAAATTTAGCCGAGAAAGTCTGGTGGTGAAAAAGTTATGACACTTTCTTCTCAATTTGACTTCAATACTAGGAATTTTCAGGATTTTATTCATGGCATATGGTGAAGATAAAATTTCACGATTTTTACTGACTCACAATAATTTGTCTTCCACAAGACTAAAGTGGCTTACAGTACACAAATGAAAGCCACTTTTTCATACTTCAAATCAGGTGCCAACAATATGGTAACGAATAGCATGATTATTTTAATAAGCTGAGTATGTCAAAATGAACAACCAGCCCATTCAAACTGATTACAAAAATAATCTCATCTGGAAAATCACTAAATTCATTGGTCATTCAGAACTTCTGCTTTTGGGATAAATCGAGAATTCATCCAAATCCAGCAAATCAACCTCATCGCCTAAGTTTATCCATCAGTACAACATTGTAATTATCGTATTTGCTCTATTAGAAGTTCATATATCTCAAAAATTGCATTCACTACATGATAGATCATTAATATACAATTATTTTTAACATGTACGCACATTATCGCTTACATAAGCACACCCACTTCTAAGAGAGAACATACGGTAGATGGTTCATACATTATCAGCTTGTTACTACATTGTATTGTTATTTGTTTCAGACGTTCATTTCCATCTGGTCATTCCTCAGTATCTGCATATTGTATGGTTTATTTGCTGGTAAGACTATGTTATGTATCAATAAATGCATGAAATGAAACACATTTTGTGATCACTTATCAATATTAATTTCTGACATTCATACCAAGTAAAAGGACTATTATTTTGAGGTCCATCCATCCATGCATCTGCTACCATTTCTTGAACACAGATGCTTTATTTTATATATTTCACTAATTTGGTTTTATTTATCTGAATGACTGAATCTTTCTTGTAGATGATTGGCCAATTTCAATCAAACTTCATTTGAAGACGTATATTTTGGATTGCAGGACCTAATTTTTTTCATGATTGGTTCAATGCCGACTGGAGGCATGAAAATATTTGTTAAATATCCAACTTTGTTCGGTATGCCAATTTCAATCAAACAAGATGTAACAATAAATAAAATACGACATTACGTTTTATCTATGTCAAAGACAGGGACTATGTCATCTCATAGTGAGATAATTTTTGTTTCCATGTAGTTGTATCTAGAAAGTAGAATGAAGTGGAAGAGAGTTCGTTTATTGAAACCAACACTACAATTCATAGCTATTTTGTTAGCTCTTTTCTGCTGTATGAGTAGAATATCTGACTATAAACATCACTCGAGTGACGTCTTTGTTGGATTTATACTTGGAACCACAGTTGCAGTATTCATGGTAATGTTCTTTTTATTAATATACCATACTTACCATGAGCTTTTCTTATTAGTCCCCGTTCGGATGAAGTCCGAAAACGGGGACTTATAATTCGGTCTCCGTCCGTGCGTCTGTGCGTCCGTCCGGAGTCATATCTCAGAATCCCTCGGACCGATTCCGTTCATTCTTTGCTTTTTATCAATATACCATACTTACCATGAGCTTTTCTTATGATCTACAATATACTTTATACAATCTGCTTGCTTCCATAAAGCTTTGACCTGAGCTATATAGGTATTCCATAATGACAAAACTAATAACTGAGCTAATACGGGACGTTTTGCGAAGTGATTTGGCATTTACTATTTCTTTGAATTATGTTTATTTCAACAATAGCGTTCATCTGAAATGCAGATTTGGCGTATCGTATTCTTCTTCCATTCTCATATCGCTGAACTACGATGCCATTGCTGTCAACAATAAAAACATCACTGCACTGTGTTCACACTTTCACTCTCATAAATGCTGCTACTGATACGTGGCAATAGTAAAGATAATAAATGTGGGATGATGCATCATTTCGTTAAATTTCCTTTCTATTGTAAAACATGACTAGAAAGCGACACTTCGAAAGGTCGAGTTCATCACCTGCTCTGTGAATTCATTTCTGCATTTGAATAATCACTTGACACATTGGTGAGACAGGAAGTTCTACTTAGAACATCACACATGAAATGGAGGATGTATGTATAAATTGTCACACAATGGAAGCTTGTATGCGAACAATGCACAAGAAACTGCCATCCGTGCCTTGTTTATTCACTCAGATTGGGAATCAGTACAAATCACGACTTCACGATTTTAACAACAATACAGGGTTAGATGACGGCAGATTTGTTCCCGACTGTAGTCACAGTCTTGACTTAGCAATAAAAAGGGACTTCCGAGACAATGAATATAATATAACCAAAAATAAGCAAGATTGGCTGAGCTGTGGTCAGCGCCCATGTGATAATAATGCCGTCATGAGGCGTCAGATGTACAAGAAATATTGGACCATGCACCGCAATTGTCAGCTGATGATCACTGATGATGTTATTGTCACTGTCCAATCTGTGTTGTGCAACAAGTTCATTTGATGTACCCTAATCTACCAGGAGTGTGCCATAAATGACATTGATGACATTGGAACAAGTGTACACTACACATAATTACACACTAAACAGCCCTTTTTAGGGCCATCCACATCTTCCAAAAAGAGAAAAGCTGTATATACTGAGTGTAGCTTAGTAATGCATGTTTCTATCTGACGTATTGAGGATGTCTGGTAGAAGTGGATGATTGCTTTATAGCTTAATGTAATAGCCATTTTTATAGAAAGTTTGAAGCTTCTGTTTCTGTTTGTCAATAAAAGCATGGCGTGCAAAAATCTGATGACTGACCACAGCCACTTGTAAACAAAATAAAACTACTATATGCCGACTAGTGTACATTTCCAAATGTGCACAAGGCCGGATAGACAAGAAAAGTCAGAACTTGTATTATCTAAAATGAATATTTTTAGTCATTTGTTCACCTACTTTTAGCGTGACTCCGAAGGCCAGTTTTTGTAGTCGCTTTAAAGATTGTGATTTTAAATGAAAACAAAAATAGTCACAATTTAGCCTGTCATAGGCCGACACACAGTTACAGCATGAATTTGCCAATTTCATAAACAACTGGAAAAAAGCCACGAAAAAGCCAGTAAATGAATTCGTATTGAGTCACATGTAACATAATTGGTCGACAACCCTAGAGATTGTGTGGTCTAATTTCCGTTCCATTTACCATCATAGGCTGCGTTATTTACGGAATATGCTCTATATACACATACACGCCCTCGGAACATAACAGTAAACAATACTAAAGTTGTTTATTTCAGTGAAAACAACTAGGGGTATCGTTATCCTGTCTATCACTCAGCCGCATAGTCCTGCATTGTTGTCATCATTTCCAATAACTCATAAAATTATTTTCTAATTTTTGTCAAACCTTAGTAATATCATTCAGCAATATATGGTTAATTTTCAATGTTGGCATGTCACAGCAAACATCTTACATGAAGAAGCTGGAGAATAAGCAAGCAAAGTTTCCAACTTTGAGACAGGTAGTTTAGCTCAGTGAACCATGGGGGTTCATATTCATGTATCTTGTTGATAGGTGAACTTATTCACTTCCGGTCTTGCGTGTGTGTGTGTATATGTCGAGGGCACATGTGCATTGCCATGTTTTACTTAGTTTCTAAGGTCAAATAAAGTAAATGAAAAAAAACTTGCATGAACTGATTTTATTGATACTAGCTGAATTACACACAAAATAGATAAACAAAAAATAGTCATTGAATACATGCATGTTTGTCACAGTACAACCTTGTTTATTTTGAATGGGAAGCCGCAGGGATAATTATTTTCATTTTAAATGACCTCGGTACATAAGCACATCTTTCAATATATTGAATGAGTAACATAATATTCTTGATTGCAGGCTTTGGTTGTGGCCAACATGTTCAAGAAAGAAGAAGTTAATGAAAAAACAGACACTATTAACAGTGAAATCCTTTTTATGGAAATGAATCCTCGTAGTCGTGCTAATTTTAAACAGACTATCAGTAGCAGTTTTATTTAAGGTCACATAGTGTAGATGTGATGCCAATTGTTTGAGGCTTATATTCAAATTTTTGTTGTGTAAGAATGAGGGAGTATTTTATTATGCCTATGTTATCCATGCCATGTGGTCATGACTAGTTTATATGTTGTCTGCTTTTTTTTATATTTCTTGACTATGCATGCATATGGACAGTGATGTGGGAATTAGAGCTACATTTTGGATGCAGTTTTGAATGCAATCC